ATTATCAAAATGATTCACAAAAGAGAATAGTGCCAATATCTCAACAAATACAAACTCTATTTCCTGAAAGTCTTCCATGTCTATGTCTCTCTCTCTCTGTCTCTCTCTCTCTCTCTCTCTCTCTCTCTCTCTCTCTCTCTCTCTGTTATACCACATATGCATTTACATGTATGTGGGCAGACATGTATATGTATGTAAACGTAGAAGCCCAGATGATACCAAGTGTCTGTGTCAGTTGCTCGCTGTATTTATTGGGGAATTAACCCTTGCTGAACCCAGCCAGCTCAGATTCCATAGTCTCTAGCTGGTCCACCCACTCTGTTTCAAATGGATACTTGGGGATTTGAACTTTAGTTCCTATGATTGTTGTGCAAGCACTTTATCCACTTAGTGGATGCTTTTCCCCATCACCCAACAGACTTTCACATGAAATATTTTTCATTTCTACTTTAGGTTTTAATATGAGCAGAAGTAATTGGGGAGTAAGTTAATTTTCCTTTTAATTTATCTGCCTTTTCATTGAAGCGGCCTGTAAATAATACAATCAATCATAATTTACTTCCTGGTATATTTCCACCACTCCCTGCTCATCTTAAATCTGTGAAATGTGTTAGTTTTTACAGTTCTCTTTAAAAATGCTAGAGGATGAATTAGGTCTCTATCATACATGTGAAATTGTTGAGTCTCTGAAGAGACCAGTGGTATCAGTAAAATGAGGGATAAAGAACCCTCTCTACCTCCAGTGCCTCTGCATCAAAGGCTTGGTGCATTCTGCTTCAACTGTGGTGCCACTTGACGTCCACACAAAGAGCATTGTATATTAGAGCACACAGAACATTTTTCGTGGGCCTCACGCTGTGCCCAGAAAGCTTGGCCTAAATTTTCCCATATTTCATATATCCATATTTACATCAGTTTTCCCCTCTCATTTCTTCACCCCCAAACTTTTCCATGTGCCCTTGACCTCAGATCTCTCTTCAATTGATGCTTTCTTGGTTATTACTACATATATGTATAAATACATGGCCTGCTCATTCAGCTTAGTGCTGCTACGTCCCCATTGTTTTTTCCCATTTTCCTCTTCATATCATTTGTGTCCTGCTATATCTATATCAAATACTGCCTAATCTCACACTAATTTTTTTCCTGGTTTCTGCAGTTACTCTAGGTTATATACTGAAATTTAAAGATTTGAAGCTAGGAATTAAATGATGAGAAAAATCATGCATTATTTGTACTTTGGGGTATAGATGACTACATTCAGTATAATATTTTCTAGTTGCACCTATTTAGCTGCAAATTTCTTGTTTCTTTATATACCTACAGTAGCTGCATTGACTATATCCATATTCAAGTATCATTCAGAGAAAGATTCAGTCACAATTTTCTCCAAGACAAGATATCAATTGGAACTGCACAGAACCAAAATTCTGAAGTTGAGAAAGAATCTCTACACATTCTCTCTAGATAATACTATCTTCCTTGTGGATTATAATCTGCAATAGATCCCAGGCTTGGGAAAACTGCTCAGCTTCCAATGCAGTTAGTCTGCTCTTCTGATCTTCTCCCTTGGCAGCACCCAGATTAACTTGAGTCCTCATTTCGAGCAATTATACACGAGAAGAGGGAGATCAGAAAGTGTTAGGAGACAAAAGATGCCTCTTAAGTTCACGAACTTGTTGCCCTTTGCTTTCTCTTGATTGTGTAAGTACCTCTTTATCACCATTTAAGAAACTGTTCCCAAACAAAGCCTCTGAGATCCCAAATCAGATTTCTGTCATCATGCCTCAAACTCAAATTACCCCACACTGGAAAAGACAGTTCTTTTCCTGTGCAGAGCCAGTCTCCTTGCTTTGATCAATGATGCTCAGGTTGTGCCTCCCAATTATAGATACTTTAGTTTGAAGATATGCTGCATCTTCATACTCTCACTAGTACCTGTCAAAAGTTTTATCTATTGAACAGTCCTCCATTCCTAATAATTGTACTTTTTAAAAACTAAATGGAAATAAAAAAAATATTTTATGCGGCAAAATTTATACCAGAAGTAGTTACAAAACCCTTTTTCTTAGTGTATTAATGCATTAACCGCGAACCATTTCTAAAATAAGAGTCAAGAGACAATAAAATAAATTATGTCATTTATTATTCAAAGATTCATTAAGAAATTGACTTATATAATTAGGAGTCCTAATCACAAATAAATCACAGCATGTAAAATGCAAGTGGTAAATTGTGCTTGACATTTGTAGATAATTCTGTGTGAGAATTAAAACTAAATGCTTATGTTCATCGAATAAAATGTAGACAAAAACGTATTTAAAAACATAACTTTGCCATATATTTGTGGTTTAAGAACTATGCCTATTAGATTTATCCATAAAGAAGCAAAACCAAAGAAGTTGGGTGGGAAGGGAGTTGAGAATAGGCAGAGTAGGTCTAGAAGAAGTTGTGGGTGTTGACAAATATGATCAAAATACATCATATAAAATTTTCAATTAGTTAATATATTATTATTATTATTAAAGAGAGATAAGTGTAAAATATAATTAACAATCAACATCAGATTGAAATTCTCATATAAGGTTAGGTACAAGAAAGTTGTATCCATAAAGCATATGATCCTTTAGGCTGCAGATTATTCAAAAGCTTCATTTATTTACCTAGAAAAAGGAAACAGACCGTAACCCTAAATGCTAATTATACTAATCCAAGCATATCACAGAATTAGTGCAACTAAAGAGGAATGTGGTCACAACCCAGGGGGAGAGAAAAGCCTATTATTGCAAATCATTTGAACCATACGAAAGTGCCCATCTCATTCAGAAAGGGACAGAGCTTTTGTTTGTGATTTTATGTTGTAGAAGATTAATTTGTTCCCTGAAGAGAAAAGATCAAATCATGAAAGTCAGAATATGCAATCAAATAATGAATTTCAAATTTCTTAAACATCAACAAAATGATATTCTCTATATTGCTCAAAATTGATCAACAATTTCAAGATGTAATTACAAAAATACATGGTAATTCCTCAGATGTTATCCTTCACAATATAAGTCCAAATAAGTTATAAGTGGAATGTAATTTCTATACACTAGGCTTAGACCAAGTTGCTTTGAAACAAGCTCAAAAGTTGTGATACATGTGTGACTGTTCCTTTTGTGCCAAATGCACTGCACTGACCGTGAGTATTTCCTCATGGCATGCATCACATGACACAGCACTTAAACAATGCAGTGTAAATATCTGAGAGCTAATTTTGGTGTTTTTTTTCTCGACGTTCAAAATAATTGCATTAGAGTAACACACAATCAATTCTAATGTTCAGTTTGGTATTCTAAAATTAGATTGATGTCACCCACTAGAGACATGGATAATAGAAAGTAAAAGGCAAACCTTTGGAAAGAAAACTGTTAAAAGTTCTATTGCTCCATAAGTTATAAAAAAATAGTCCAGCAAATAAAACTAGCTCCTTCATAGATAATAAGGAAAATTGACTAGCAATAAAGATTATATCATCGATCCTTTGAATTGATGATCAAACTAAATCAGAGAACAAAAAAAAAAAACAAAAAACAAAGGAACACCTTCGTTACAAGGAATTACACACAGTGAACATTTCAGACACAGATTCTGTGAACTGAGTAACTGAGATGGAATGGATAGAGAAAGAAAAAGAAAACAGCAATAGCATGTGTGCAGACAATACAGGTATATGTTATCATACATGCTTAATCCTGGGAAGAACAGGGTAGAAAGGAAACAAACTTTTGTGAACACTTCTTTAATCTAGAAAGCAAAAAATTCTTGATGCTAGTATTTGCATTTAAGCTATGCATAGTTTGAAAATTAACATGTCTTTATTGGTAGGTGCAAATGACTCTCCCATGCAAAACCAACGCGTGCTGAAGAACATCATAATCAGAACAGAACTGGTGATGCCAAGTATGTATTGCTCATAGTCCTTTTCCTTGTTCTGATTGTATGTAAGGTTCACCCTACATAATTTCTGCATCACTTATTAAAATTAAGAGGAAGAAAAGGCTGGGATAAAGCTGATGGAACACACACTCCACTCAGAATATTAGTTATTACCTAGTCCAACTTCTAGATTCAAGAGTCAGTTAAACTAAATCTTCACTTTTATGAAATATCTTTCCCAAGGTTAACCTGTGCAGGAGTCCAGAACTCGGGACATGTCACAGTGCCTTGTCGAACATGGATACTAAGTACCCTATACATATTATGAGGGGATGGTTGAATGAAGAATACAAAAGGATAAGACAATGACAAAGGCAAGCTACACTACCCTTCCAGTGACAGAGACGTCAGGGTCTGTGTAGTTTAGGAAATTTCTCCACCTCTTTTAAAATTAAAGTCCTTCAAAAAAAGTTTGAGCCATACTGCTCAAAGAAATCATGCCAAGTGCCAATAGAGGTAGCTATAGCACACAGCACTTTAAAGTTACAGTAATCCATTCAACTGCTATAATTTGTGTTGCTTATCAGTGAGGTTAGCATTGTTGGAACTTGGACTATATCCCTATGGGACACTGATGATTTGCTCTTCCCAGGACATAATGTTACTTACATCAACATTGGGTCTTTAGTAGTGCCAATGGGAAGATCCCTCAATTTGTGAACACTCAGTAGTAAGGGTGTGAAGCAGAAATAGGGCTCATTCTAAAAGTATTTTTCAGAAATAAAGACAAACAGAGAAGTAATAAAAGCATCATGTAGACCATTTGACCAAAAATGATATGTTGTTAAACTGGCCATAGTTGAGATAGTACATTTTGGTCTTGAAAATATATGTGATTAGAAAATAAATTTCCAGGTGTCAGACAAAAAGAGAAAGTTAACTGCAGGTATGGACATGTAAACAAGTAAAATACAAGTAAAAGAAGAGCAGATACCTAGTAGTATGGTTTCCTGATAACCATATTCTGCAGATTTAAGTAAGTAACCTAAAGGAACACTGGCAGTGGCAGAAGGCAGGCAAACGCTGTTGTGTTCTGAATGGTCAAGTCCATGTGAAAGAGATCTTTGTAAACAGAGGTCCTGGCAGTACTCTGTGATAGAAGAGGGGTCGCTAAGGTTGCTTAGGGACCCAGGTAAACTTCCAGCCTCCCTCCTCATCTCTGCGCACAAAGGCTTGTCCCTGGTGGAAAGAGTGTGTTTTCACGTTGCAGTGAGGGCTCAGCGATGTGGAAAAGGCCACTTCTGTCTTGTTGGGTGACACATCTCCACTGTGGAAAGCAAGAGTTTGCACCCCTACCGGAGGATTGGAAAGCCTAGGAAAGCAGTGACAGTCTTGCTGATAGATGGTGTTGCCATGGGAGGCATGTAGTCTGTTCTCTCCACGGTCAAGGTGCAAATCTCTAGGAATAGTTTCAAAGCCAACTGTGTCATGTAGAAATTGGGGGGATGTACTGGGGACTGTTCTGGGATGGAAGGCAATGGCACTGTAGTTAGCTGGAAGGGTGTCGTCAATGGTGTTGAGGTCTTTCAACCCAAGGGTTTGAAGAACCCAGGGGTCCACACAGGGCCCGGGTTGTCCTTCACAGTTAGAAAACTCTGTGGAGAGGTTTCTCTTGGCAGTTTTTGACTGGGGTATCTCAGCAGGGGGATGCCTGTGTTCTTTGGGTTTCCTCTTCTCTTTTCTGAGTTTTCCACACACTTTGGAGAAGTCATCTGATGAGAGCAATTTCTGGAAAAGCAATATTTGAAAATTTTTCTTCCATTGGATATTTATTATTTGCCCATTTGCTTAGGAGAAAAAATGGCTAAATGTCTTCTGTGTTCCCACACAAGTCAAAGTAGTCAATTTGCTACTGTTTATTGAGTAAACATCCTTAATAAGCTGTTGCTTTAATTAATTCTCTTTATTCAGTTTTTTAAATATTGAAGGAAGCAAGTGCCATCTGTAAGATTTCAACTAAGAGAAATAAAGGCTGATACTAATAGCAGCTGCCACTTATTAAACTTGTTAATAAGTAAATGAAGTAAGATCATAATTTATAGACCATTGCTGGTATGTTTTTTTTCTCATAAGATGCAAATGCTCTTAAATAATTAATAAATAAAGACACAGGCATATTAGTGATTATCTCACTACTCCTTAGCCTAGATGTAAATCTTATGCCTCTGAATCTAGACAGATCCTCTGAGTTCAACACTCACCGTCTCCTAATTTTATCATATTAATTTTCAAAGCACTCCCATGTTGTGTGTTATATTTTTCTAAGTTTAGAAAAACTGATATTGAGAGAGTTAGAAATGACATATTAAGATGACTTAGTTATATTTTATGGATTGATATCTGATGTTAGGATCCCAGACTAATAACTGTACAGATGTGTTTGTTTTAGTCAAGGCTAACTGGATTGCAAGGAGTCCAATTTGATGATTCTCTCTGTACTCCAATGCAGGAGATGACATCAAAGTTAGATCAAACAATGCCATAGTTTGTCTAGAAAGCAGGTAATACTGATGATAGACATAGTAATGAGAATGATGGCAAATGCAAGCTGAAATGTGAAAAAATGAAGAAAGGAAGAATAAATGGGTTACAGTTGAGCTAGTTATCTGTGAGTTAAAGTAGTTCATCTAAAAGTGTAGATAAAATGATAGAGTGTTTGCATATGTCTAATCACCAGTGGAGAAGCCTTGAGCCCAAGTATATTCATAACATTTCTGATCCTCTCTGTCTCTTTCTCTTTTTTCCTGTGTGTAGGTCTCTCTCTCTCTCTCTCTCTCTCTCTCTCTCTCTCTCTCTGTCTCTCTCTCTCTCTCATGTGTGTGTGTAGGTTAGAGGCTGAGTTGAGTGTTTTCCTCTATATTTCAGTCAATGTCTTTTTTGATCTTCCTAGGCTTCTGGCCAGTGGGATGCAAGGAACTACTTGTCTCTGCATCCCTGCAATCTACGGTGTTTGGCTTAATGTGAGCCTTTCAGGATCCAAACTCAGTTCTTCCTAGATGCATATAAAGTACTGTACTTAGTTAGCCATTTTCAAAACTCCCAGAGAGATTCTTACCAAGGCTCCGGGCCCATCCATTTGCCAATTACAATAACAAAGGCCCCAAGGATGCTAGCCTTTTAGTTGACATCTAACACATATTTAGAACTGCTAATATTTTTTTTACATTTTATTTCTACTCCAATATTCTACCCTTTATTAACCTCAGCAGTGTTAGCAATTGCTCTGTTTAACTTTCATCATTAATTTCCTTTGTGATGTCGAGCTAAAAATCTGAAACTAGAAACTTCTGGAAAATGCTATCTAAAAATCCTGTTGAAGTTATGTATTTCTTTAAGGATAATTAACCATCTTACTGACTCCTGTGCAGACATTTTATTAGGTAAACTTCATCTGTTTCATCATGAGGTGTCACGTAGGGATTTCCTCTGTCAAGTCACTGCCTTGCGTTTGGAAAACAGATAATTACATACATACCTTTGCCCTTTCTTCCAGACATTTAACCAAAGTAGAATTCAGGTATTGTCTGAGGTTATTATTCTCTTCATGTAGCCTAGCAAGTTCTTCCTCCTTCTGTAGGAGAGTATCCTGGAGCTGCAAGATGCATACAATAGTGAAGGGTGCTCCCCTCTATTGGCTTTGTAACCTAATAATTCTGCACTGCTCCCCAACCTTCTTAAACCTGATTCATTCTTGTTTATTTTATGAACATAATTTCAAAGAGCCCTGGTCCTCCAGGTCTTAAATTAAATCTACACTCCCTACCACCTGATTGTTCAGTTTTGTGCACTGCATATTCCATTCATTGCAAAGTATTTGAGGAGATCAAATGACTCTCAAAAAACTGTAACCACAGGGAGTCAGGTGGTGTGAGGGAAAGTGAGCTGCATGGAACTGTTTAAATATAGCAAGCATGGTTAGAAGACTTGGTTGCACTCCTTCCTTTCACACTTCAGAAAATAAAAACAGAAGTTGTGACCTGGCTTTACCCAGCTTCAGATCACTCAGCCTGTGTGTTCAATAACTGAAACTGCTCATTTGGAACAACCACAGATGAGACCTGGAAGAGGAAGTAATTTGGGGGAAACATTTATCATCGGCCCTTCTCTCAAAGATGAGCTATGTTTATCGTTTAAAACACGGCTGTATCAGTCCTCTGGTGATCCTCAGAGAAGGATTGTAGCAGTATTCCACAGATAAGGAAAAGCAATTTGGTTAATTGAGAGGTCACCCATAGGTTTTCTTGGAGCTTTTGTTTCTGTGAACTTATGCATTTAACTTTAATCTATTCAGACACACAATTACTGTTGTGTGCCACAAAAAAAAAAACCCACTGAGCTACTATGCATTAAAAAAAGAAACAATTTAAAACTAAAAATCAACATGAAATAAAGAGAGACTCAGGGAAGAGTAGACTTTGTGGAACTATGTTAGTCTCAATGTTCTCTCTCACTCTCTATCCATACCTGTTTATTTTTATAGAGCTGAGAGGAAAGCTGAGCCTCTTCCCATGAACATGAATCCAGACCAGGGACACTGAGATCGCAAGATGCCTCTGTGTGAAAATACAGAAGAAATGAATGGACGTGTTTACAATTATGATGAAAACTCGCAGACAACTTCAAAAGTTTAATAGATTTAATTACTTTTATTTCCCACAGAAAAAAGTTTTAAAGATTTCAAGAAGAATGTAAGGAATTATTTATGTGCTACCTACAAAAGTGGCTAAAGAGATTTATTTTAGGAACTGGCAGCTCTTGAAATGTATATGTACATTCTTGCTGGTTAAGTTAATAAAGGCTGTCCCTTCCTTTACAGAGACACTGACCCTGCCTTCCCACTAGGCATAATATTGCAACTCCACTACTCCCTTCCAGCATTCATCCTAATTTCTGTTTCTCTAGCATTTGATAGCATTATGTTTGACTCCATAATCAAACCCTGTGTTGCGGAGCCACGTTTTCCTCTCACCCATTCTATTTTTGAAATCTGAAGGGCAAAATTTGTTCACGATTTTATGTCATGGTATGATAACATTTTTCAGTGTTTATTAAAGCTAGACACTAAAACTAGGACCTGTTACATGACATGCTGGAGAAACACCCCATGGCTGAGTCAAATCCCCAAGTCTTCTCCCCATTGTCCTTAGTGATTGGCTTCTTGTTACTCTAAAGAATTTTATGGAAATTTCACTGCTAAACTATACTTTGTTTATTTCTAGCATCCATAACTGCATTAATGTTTTTACATAGAAGTTTTTGTTTTTGTTTTTCAGAGTAATGCCCATCAAGTAAAAATTGATTCTCCATCTCAAGTAATTTTGTTTTCACCCCACAACCCTCAATCCCATTTAACCTGCGGGAATTCAAATGTCTTTGTTGAACCATTTAGAATTAAGTTGGAATGGGTAAGAAAACAAAATAAAACTTGGGTTCACATTCTGAAACATTCCATGCCTGCTTTTGCTTATAGTGAAAAATCAAAAACTGAACAACTTCCTCCTTGACATATGGTTCCTTCATTTTGGGTTTTGCCTCAGCATCTTTTCATATCCCTTCCCACAGTCTCTAAAATAAGTGGGGGGCAGAATGAATGTACAGTTATTTAATTCTGAGGTGCCTGAAAATTTTATGGAAATGAAGCATTAATATGGAAATCCCTGTAATGTGTTTAAGAGTACTCATTAAGCTTCAGGTCAATGTTAGTGTTGTGTTTGATTTCCACCAACCTTGGACATTTCTCTAAAGCTGACTGCACATGTGAAGGGGAACTGATTTTTTTGGTGTATGAAGTACTGTTCACAAAATTTTTGTATGATGAAATGAACTTTGTTACTCACTCTTGATTTTTCTCTCAAAGTCATAAGAATCTCTCCAAATTATACCTGATATTTTGATTCAAAAAATGTTCTATTAGGTGCTGTTTATAAAACTGTACTATTGACCCAAAGTTACTCCTGACTTGGCAATCTCCAAGAATTCCAGAATCTAGAAAACAACACAAGTTGTCTAGCACACAAGAGGAAGGGTTTCATTTTTGTTAATTGATGAGTACAGAACAACCAGTTTTACTGCTAAAAAAAATCCAGGAGTCTTAGGGCTTACTTAAATTTTCTATTTTTTCTGTTGAGTACCAGACCTCAATGCCTACAGTTACCTGGCTGTCAAAAGACCCATTCTACAAGTGAAGGAGAAGGGTAAAACTTACCCTGTGTCTGTGGTGCTTGTTGGGGCTCAGCGTTGTCCAGGAGACCAGCAGCCCAGAAAGAGACCCAAGTCTCCTTGGAAACATCAACACTAGATTCTGACGTTGTAGTGGAATACGGGCAATTATAACTCTGGCCTCCTACAAAATACTGATCTTGGCAAGGCAGAATGGTGTTCTTTGGTTTTCAGTTTGATGGGGGTAGGGGAGATGGCATGATGGCAGTTGGGAGGGGGAGAGAGTGGGAGAAATAGAGAGAAATTACATGGGTGAAGAAAATAAACAATAAAAATGGTAAGTACAGGTCCAGATACATATTTGAATGGTGAGATTATAATTACTAAAAAGGAAGGGGTTCTTTGAATTCCCCACTACTTTCCTAAGGTTGTTCACCAAATAACTAGTATCAGATAGGTCCAGATTTGTAAACAGCAGAGAAGCATTTCCTATTGCAGTGCTACCCAGAATTAAGTAAAAAGAATTAGATCTCACTATTCAGATTATAAGGACCACTTGTTGCTCTGTAGCAGATATCTTGACTTGTATTTCTACAAATCTTGAAATGCAAAGATCACAGACTACAAAGGGTTAAGTGAACAGTTCTCCATGGCATCATTTCAAGGAACCTCCTAATGGAGGAGTCTGAATCAGGTGCATTTCTTACATGTGAATGAATAAACATGTATATGCATATAAGTTTACAGAGATGATCACATACATTTTAGCCCCAACTCCAGTCACAGGAGTGTGACATCAATTCAAGTACACCATCAAACATGAGAATATAGGCAGTGGGTTCTGACCCCTCCATCATCATCATTAGGTACCCTTTCCAGGTTACTGTGCCACCAGTAGCTGCCTGGCATGCCTTTCTCCACTGTGTTCTGATTCAGTGAGCACCTTCCAGCTCCACCCCACTCAGTCCTCCAACCTCAAATGTGGTCTTTCCAAACGTCCATGCAGGGGCAAGCAGTCTACCTCCTTCCTAGCTTAAGCTGTCCATCGGCCCGTTCTTAATTATGTGTCAATGTTTAATCAAGTCAAAAACATTCCTTGCAGCAGAGCCCAAGTTTGGACAAACTCTGGCTACTCGAAGGTTGGTGTTGCTCTGAGGACTTTATTGGACATGATTTAGAGAAGGCAAAGGGTATGGAAAAGGAAGAGGGTGGAGAAGAAGAAGGAGAAGAGGAGGAATAAAAAAAGAATAAAAGAACGAAAGTTATTATTGTTGAGTCACTAGACTCACCGTAGGCCCCCACTGCCAGTGAGTGAAGACTTGAAAAGGTACACTTTTGAGGCAAATACAACTTGGCCAGTGCTGCCTGAAGAAATTCAGCCAAAAGTTTATCAAGTGCTATTTTCTTTTATTCTAAAAGTATGTTGGTGGATTCTTTTTTTTTTTTCCCCGAGGTTATTCTTGGAATCAGAGCTAAGCTATTAAGCAACTGACACCTGAGAGGAAAACAAACCCCAAACACTCGTGAGGATTTCAAATCTAAGTGTTTGCAAATATGAGCATAATCTAGAGGAACAGGTGGAAGAAGGTCCGCACAGGGTGAGGGGAAAGGGGTGGGACGAGGAAGCAAATATGCAGGAGAGGGAGCGGAGAATAATAAGGGGTGCGGGGGAACAGAAATGGACTATATTAACTGGAAAGTACAAAGGCATCTCGCAGGGTAGAATACATTCTAAATGCTGTTTATTGTCTTCCAGGACCCCTGGGGTTCTGGCAGTGTGACTAGCTAAAGCCAGCTCCTCACTTACCATCTTGCAGAAGAAAGCGCTGCAGAAACTGGGCCCACTCAGCTTTTTCTTAATGCCAGAGTTAGCTTTAAATGGGACTGCAGAGAGGAAGGAGCAGGGAAGCGAGTTCTAATCCGCTGGAGCTGCAAGTGACCCGCAAGGCTCCCAGCGCGGGTGCTGCTCTCTGGTTTAGGGAGAGGCTGTCAAACAGGTGATGTGCCTCGGGAGCCGCCCAACCTAAGCCACAGCCACTGGAGCTCCGGAGGCACCCTCGCTGGGACGTGAGACCTGCGGGACGTCTTGCGAGGGGCCAAGGAAGGACCCGAGGCTTCAGGTCACTGGGGCAGCGTCCGGTCAAAGTCTGTGCCTGTGCGAGCTGAGTCTAAACAGTTCACCTGGCGCGGTGGTGACTGGCCTGGCGATGGGAACTCAGCTGCCCGCTCTCTCTGTGCCACGCGCCCAGCAGCCGGTAGGGCGGGGCTGGGCAGGGCGACTAGCCAACCCCTGGTGGCATCCAAAGCCCAAGCCTTGGTCTCTGTGCAGCGCTAAGGAAACCCATCCAAGGGACCCTGGTTTGAGTGACGTCCTGTGCATACCCTAGTCACAGGATAACAACAAATGATAGCAACTTGATAATAAAGGCAACTTTATTTTCTTTTATTTTGTTAATAGGTCTTATTTCACCCAGTTGTTGTATGTTCAAATGAGGGCTCAAAATGCTATCAGACCTAGAATATACATTTTCTAAGACATGCATGCCGTGCCTAATTCCACATCATCGTGGACAATGGGCTGCCCACAAGTACTCAATAAAAATTTGTTCAAAGAATGATTTAATGTTTGCATTTAAGAATCTACAGTACTTTTTCTCTGAATTGGACTGGTGCATACCAGTGTTACATAATTTTTTTTAAAAAATCACTATTAAGAAAAGTTTTCTGTCTATACTTCGTAAAATACTATATTTCCCTATCTTTAATTTTATTCTCACACCTATCTCCTTATTGTTCAACTTAGGGATGAAAGAGAAGTCTCCTTGAGACAGACTTTAGTGCCTCTTCTCACCTGTTCTCATCATCTGAATGGAAATAAAGCCTTAACAAACGGGATCCAGTTCCATCAGGCCTGGGAATATTCGCAGAGGTCTCCAAGACACCAGCCAGAGATACCTGCACACCCTGTCTGCTACTGAATGAGGCACAGTAGGCAAGCTGTGGAATCTGACTACCAGTGGATAAACACACACAGAAAATGTATAAACCAGGGAGTCGTATTAAGTTATAAAGAATGACATTATGTCATTGGTAGAAAAATAAATGATAGCCACAGAGAAAATTATACTAAGTGAAATAAACCACTCAGAAGGACAAATATACATTCATTTGTATGTAGAGTCTCTATTTAAAATGTGTGTGTATGTGTGTAAAATAGAAAAAGGTACAATTTTATACTATTTGGTAAGAGGAAAAGGACCAGCAGTTGGCGGGGACAAGAGAGAGTAATGCATGTAAATATGAGAAAAGTGCATCATGCACATGAACAAAAATACTGTGAGGCAGTCTGTTATTTTGTACAATGAGTAATGTGATTAATAATTAAAAAATAAAGAGGATGACAGTCAGTATGGGAGCCAGGTACTAGTATTCTCTCGATTTAAAAAGAAAGCCCTGAGGTTAGGAAAATGAACCTTGTTAGTAGGCTTCCAACCTCTGAAACCAAGGCCAGTCCTCCTGTGGCACAATTGGTGGGGAGCCTTGGAAGACCAGTGGGTACATGGCACGGAAACCGAGAAGCAAAGTTCGAGTCCGGCTTACGTGTCGTTCTTTAGAGAGAATTTGACCTTTCCCTGAGTGTCCTCTTCCTCTATTGGTAATGCATAGAAGTGAGAAAAAACATGATCAAAAAGGGTATAGAGAAGAAAGTGGAAGAATGTGCCTGAAAGGTTCCTTGCTCTGACAATATTTATTTGAAAAAAAATGTAAATGAATACCACTACATGTGAAGATTGCTGCATCAAAAGTAGACGAACTGGATCACTCGATGCTAGCCCTTCCCAGTGTGTTGTAAGAGAAAGTAGTCCCTTCTTTGTTCCTTTCAGTACAGAGGACAAAGCCCCAGAGCAGGGGGGAGGGGGGGTAACAGACCAAATTCACTTAGATCTTGCAAATCTACAATCTTTTTTAAGGAAAAGAGTTGTTGATGCTTTCGTCCTGAAAACAGCTAATCTCTTAAAGAAAAAAAGAGACAAAAACCTGGTTAGGTGTGGGTGAGCACAGAGGTAGAAATGTGTGTGTGTGTGTGTGGGTGGGGGGGTTGCTGGATGGACTTGCTTTAGGAAGCTTCCACAGATAAGATGTGCAAGCCTTTGCAAGACACATTTTCTTCTTCTCTCCAAAACTGATACAAAGCAGGTAAATGAGCAAATATAATAGGATAAAAATAACAGAATGGAATATCAGCTTTGCAATAAAATAGAGATGGATTCCAATTTCTGGTCTTTCCTGAGATGGGATTATATGGGTTGCATTATCAACATCTCTAAATCCTGGTGGCCTGTTTGATAAGTTAGAAGAAAACAGCATAGAAAACAGGACAAATATGAACCATATTTGTTAATGTTCAATAATTTCCCAGTTTGCTGATTAGATAGCAGTAACTTTTTATTGTTATTCATAGGGAAGGTTCTGCCTTTGAGGATGCATAAATGTCTACTGTTCTGCTGAGTCTGTTGGAGTCATTGAAATGAATTTTGGATTTGCAAAATGGGAGATGTTGAGGGCTAGATGTAAGTTTTTCAAGTTCTCTGATGTATTTTTAACACATAAATAATTTGCAAACCATCAACTACTTTAGCTAAATAGATGTGGTATGGTATGTGGAGACAGAAGTACTGAACATCAGGGAGCTATGGGCAATCAAATGTGAATCAACCGTAAAGTCAGGCTAAAATTAAAACACAATGAAAAAGTTTCACACCCCTGAACTCTATGCCCATCATTTTCTTAAGATTTACTGCTTAAGCAGGAACCTAATTACTATTATTATTTTTAAAAAATACCACCGAACCAAGTAAGCAATAATATGAAATTATTTGGTATGTAGAGCCATGTATATGAAATAAAGGTGCATGTTTCTTCACAATGCACACCAACCTATGCAAACTTGTTTCTTATGTAAGTAATGGGATCATTTGAAAGTTGCCTTTGTGCTGTGTTGGAGGAAATGGAGTTAAAGGAGAGTCTAATAACAGTTCAGCTATTGGATCAGGTATATATATATATATGTATATGTGTATTTATGGATATGTTATATATATATATATACACACACACATACACACACACACAGGAGGTAATTTAACCTGCATAACAAAAGGTAGAGTATGATCACAGGTGGGGTGAGGTTATAAATAGATGGGCATATGGAATGGTCTTT